TTATTGTTGAAATTTAAGATGCAGGGAAGAAAGAAGAAACGGCAAACTACAAACAATCCATCTCACTGTAACTCAATGCTGTAGATATCTAAAGGAGTGTTTGGTACCAACTAGTTTAGCATGCTCTTGTCTATCCTTACTTTCTGAAAACTCCAGTGTTGTTGGTAACCGTCAACGTGGTTATTATATCAAATGAAATCCGTCATTCCACGAAATGAAGTTAGCGACATTCAAGGAAAAGACTAAAGTTGTCATTGTATTTCTGTTGAAGCATTGATAATTTGGTGGAAATTTAGTTAAAGTTAGTTTGGTTTTGAATGAGGTTTTGGCGCCAAGCAACTGCTGCATTCCTCTTTGTCTGCCGAAATTGAAGCTGCTGTAGTTGTTTTGAGTGACATGTTTAGCTGAATTCAGCTTAGATTAAGGTTGTATTAAGTTGCCAACTTTGTTTTAAATTTTAAAAGTCTGAATGGTTGTTGCAGTTGGTAAATCAGTAAGCATTTTGTTGTATATATATTGCAAGTGCAGTGTAATGAAACAATCCCAGTTCAACTTTCCATTCTCTCCTTATCTTTCTTAGAGTTCACCGGCTCTAAAAACCAACAAGTGGTATCAGAGCCTCACACCAAGAACAACCTGAAATCTCTCTTGTATTCAGTCATCAAACTCAACTCAAGAACAACTCCCATCTCAGCCCAAAAACAGCCTGCATCTGCCTCTTATTTTCCCTGCGTCAGACACAAAAATTGAAACAATGGCTGCTCAATCAGCCTTGATGTCACCTCCAATATTCAATGGGGAACACTACCACATTTGGGCTGTAAAGATGAAAGTCTTCCTCCGGGGTCAGGGGTTGTGGCAGTATGTGGAAGAAAACAGGCAGCCACCTCCATTGCGACAAATCCTACCCTAAATCAGATGAGACTGCATGAGGAAGAAACAGTCAAAGCACCGAGAGCCCTTTCCCACATTCATGCTGTTGTGACAGACCTTGTATTCACAAAGATCATGGCATATGAGACTGCAAAGGAGGCATGGGATAAGCTGAGAGAAGAGTACATGGGCAGCACCACAACAAGGAACATGTAGGTGCTAAATTTAAGAGGAGAGTTTGAGATGCAGAGGATGCAAGAATCAGAGAAGGTTAAGGACTATGTTGACAGATTGATGAGTGTTGTCAACAAAATAAGGTTGCTGGGAGTGGAGTTGACAGATAGGAGAGTGGTGGAGAAAGTCCTGGTCAGCCTACCCGAAAGATTTGAATCCAAAATCTCATCTCTAGAGGACTCAAGAGACATGGGGCGGGTTACACTCACAGAGCTGGTTCATGCACTCCAAGCACAAGAGCAAAGAAGGCTCTTGTGGCAAGAAGATGTAGGTGAGGGTGTAATGATGGCAACTCACAAAACCAAACCAGCTCCAGGGAACAATAGAAGGTATGCCAGTGAGAAGAAGGGGAAAGAAAGGAGCAATGGCCAATAGAGAAAACCAGGTGGGATGAAGGAATATTCACCTTGCTCCCACTATAAAAGGAAGGGGCATTCTGAAAAAAGGTGCTGGTTTAGGTTAGGAATACAGTGCAGGGCTTGTAAACAATTTGGTCATATAGAGAGGGTATGCAAGAACAAGGGAGAATAGCCCTAATAGCAAGCACAAGTGACAAATGACCAGCAACCTGAACAAAGGGAAGAACAGTTGTTTATGGCCTCCTGCAGTGCACCACCAACATGTTATGATGGCTGGCTGGTTGATAGTAGGTGTACAAATCATATGACACCACACCTGCAGGATTTTGTTAGATTGAACTCAACACATCGGTCCAAGATTAAAGTTGCAAATGGTGACTATGTTGAAGCAAAGGCGAAGGGAGATGTTGCAATTCAAACCTCCACAGGCACAAAACTCATCTCAAATGTACTTTATGCACCCGAAATCACTCAAAGCCTTTTAAGTGTAGGACAAATGTTAGAAAACCATTATGTCTTGCATTTTGAAAATTAAATCTGTCAAATTCTAGACGGTAAGGGGTGTGAGTTAATGAGAGTCAAAATGGTGGGAAAAAAGCTTTCCTATTAAGCTGAAAAAAACTGAACATAGAGCCTGCAGTGTAAGGGTAGATGAATTTGTGAAATGGCATAAGAGACTTGGCCATGTCATTACCAAGGTCTTAAGGAAATTCAGACCAAAAAACTGGTCCAGATGCTACCAGAATTAGAGGAGAGTAATACCATGTGTCAGACCTGTCAACTTGGCAAGTTGAGTAGGCAATCCTTCCCTTCAAACAAAGCCTGGAGAGCTGCTAAAAAATTGCAGCTCATCCATACGGATGCATGTGGTCCTATGGAAACTTTGTCACTGAATGGAAGTAGCTACTTTGTGTTATTTATTGATGACTACTCTAGGATGTGTTAGGTGTATTTTTTGAAGCAAAAAGGAGAAGTTGATGGTGTATTCAAACAGTTTAAGCTGCTGGTGGAAAATCAAGCTGAAAAAACCATAAAAATCTTGAGAAGTGATAATGGTACAGAATACACTTCTCAAGAGTTTGAACAAGTGTGCAGGGATGCTAGAATTAAGCATCAATACAGTAGCCCCTACACTCCACAACAAAATGGAGTTAGTGAGAGGAACAATAGATCAGTTGTAGAGATGGCTAGATGTATGGTAGTTGAGAAGAGGTTGCCAAAGAAATTTTGGGCAAAAGCTATCAATACAGTAGTGTTTCTGCTCAATAGGCTTCCCACAAAAGCCTGAGACAACAAAACACCCTATGAAGCATGGTATGGAGTTAAACCAGCAGTAGATAGGCTAAAAATATTCGGAAGTATATGCTACATTCAGGTTCCAACGGCAAAAAGGTCCAAGTTGGATGAAAAGGCCTTAATTGGCATTCTTATATGCTATAGTAGTCAATCTAAAGCCTATAGGGTGTATGTTTCAGAAACCGAAAAAAATCAGATTTCTAGGGATGTCAAAGTGGATGAGGATGGGGTATGGAATTTGGAAGAAAACAAACCTGATGTAGAGACAAAACCAGGCTGGACAAAAGCTGTAGATGATCAGTTTTTTGATGATGTTGAGAGTGATACAGAAGAAGAAATTTTGGTTAGAAGTATCAGATCTCTAGCTAAGGTTTATGAGAGGTGTAACATAGCCTCACTTGAGCCAACATGTTACACAGAGGTTTGGAGAGCTGCCATGAAGGAGGAGCTTGCCATGATTGAGAAGAATCAAACTTGGAACCTGGTGGACAGACTTAAGAACAGGAAAGTGATCCAAGTTAAATGGATTTTTAAGAAGAAACTCAATCCAGATGGTTCAGTCCTTAAGCACAAAGCAAGGTTGGTTGTCAAAGGCTTTGCTCAGCAGTATGGAGTTGATTTTCTGGACACCTTTTCACCAGTTGCAAGACATGACACAATCAGGTTATTACTTGTAGTGGCAGCCCAATTTGCATGGAAAATATTTCAATTGGACATCAAATTTGCATTCCTTAATGGATGGTTGAATGAGGAAATACATTTTGAGCAGCCGGAAGGGTACAAAGTCAGAGGAAAGGAAGACAAGGTTTATCTCCTAAGGAAGGCCTTGTATGGCCTGAAGCAGGCACCAAGGGCCTGGTACAGCAGAATAAATGATCATTTGCTAAGTTTGGATTTTGTAAAAAGTCCAAATGAGCACACATTGTATGTTAGGGAGATTGATGAGGATGTTATGATCATCTCCTTGTATGTTGATGATCTACTTGTGATAGGGAGCAAGCCAACTCAGCTGGAGGAATTCAAGAGATCCATGCTTGCTAAGTTTGAGATGACAGATTTAGGTGAAATGGCTTACTTTCTTGGGATGCAGGTTCATCAAAGCTCGGCTGGAATCTTTGTTAATCAAGAGAAGTATGCAATTGAAGTTTTGAGGAAATTCAATATGGAAAACTGCAAATCAATGGATGTGCCTCTGGTTCCAAATCTGAAGCTGTCAAAGGATGAAAATGCAGAGAGTGTTGATGAGGGACAGCACAGAAGTTTGGTTGGTTGTTTGTTGTACCTAACAGCAACCAGGCCGAATATCATGTTTGCAACAAGCCTACTGTCCAGGTTCATGAATCAGCCCAAGGAAATACATTTTAAAGCTGCAAAAAGAGTGCTCGGGTATGTGAAAGGGAGCACCAACTTTGGAGTATGGTTCAGGAGGTCAGAAAACTTTGGCCTAATAGGATTTTCTGATAGTGACTGGTGTGGTTCACTGGAAGAAATGAAAAGCACTTCAGGGTATGCTTTCTTCCTGAATCATGGTGCAATATGTTGGATGTCAAAGAAACAAGAAACGGTTGCACAATCCACAGCAGAAGCAGAATACATTTCAGCTGCAGCTGCTGTGAACCAAGCTGTCTGGTTGAGAAAAATCCTGGAAGATTTGAAGCTGAAGCAGAGGCATCTTACTGTGATAATGTGTGACAATTAGTCGGCTGTGGCCATGGCTAAGAATCCAATCAATCATGGAAGAACTAAACACATAAAGATCAAGTTCCATGCAGTGAGAGAAGCTAAGCAAGAAGGGGAAGTAAAACTGGTCCAATGCAATGGTGATGATCAAGTGGCTGACATCCTAACTAAGGGATTATCCAAAACCAAGTTTGAAGGCTTCAGGATCAGACATGGTGTTTCCAGCAAAATTATCAAGGAAGAGTGTTGAAGCATTGATAATTTGGTGGAAATTTAGTTAAAGTTAGTTTGGTTTTGAATGAGGTTTTGGCGCCAAGCAACTGCTGCATTCCTCTTTGTCTGCCGAAATTGAAGCTGCTGTAGTTGTTTTGAGTGACATGTTTAGCTGAATTCAGCTTAGATTAAGGTTGTATTAAGTTGCCAACTTTGTTTTAAATTTTAAAAGTCTGAATGGTTGTTGCAGTTGGTAAATCAGTAAGCATTTTGTTGTATATATATTGCAAGTGCAGTGTAATGAAACAATCCCAGTTCAACTTTCCATTCTCTCCTTATCTTTCTTAGAGTTCACCGGCTCTAAAAACCAACAATTTCTTGTAAGATTTTGCATGGATTCACTTCTATAATATAATGTCCTTTTGTTTCTTGTATTTGTGTTTTGGTTTGGCTCTTTGTAACATTCGGCAATCCCTCCAGTCCGTCCAACTGTGGACAACAATGGAAATTTTTGTTATCTGTATATGAGAACAAAACAATGATCTTTCAAAGGAAAAAAACAAAAGACTCTGATGATATCTATGATCCTGAAAATGATAAAATTCCTGGGACAGTGCGTTGCTTCTTTCTTCATCCATTTGGCTCCTGAAGGCAGGTTTTGCTCTTGATTGCAGCAAAGAGAGTTTCATATTTGGGTGGAACAATGGCTTTTGGAATCAAAGAAATGGGTACTATAGTGGCAGTGCTTGGTGTCACAGCTTTCATACTTGGAATTATTGCAGAAAACAAAAAGGTTTCAATCTGTTCTAAACTGATTTCATAAAGTCTCTTTCTTTTACTCAAGTAGTGGAACCAATTTCATTAACATAAATCTTAGTTAATTTACTTTAGTTGAGTAGTAGAGCGTTGTTGCTTGATAGTTGATATTGTTCCAGACACTATTGATTTCATTTTTAATGGTATATCTACAGCCTGCATCTGGTGTTCCAACGATTTCTGGAGGAGTTGTTATTTGCAAGTATCCATCAGATCCAACAGTCTATTTAGGATTCTTATCCATCTCATCACTCGGAGCAGCTGTGGCGATTGGTTTATATGCCATATTTCATCCTTACAGAGGCATATCTGTTCCTCTCAATGTTTTCTTCAGAAACACTAAATTCTTTGTGTTTTTCAACATAACTGTGTGAGTATCACTATCTGTAACTTTTAACTTGATTAATTCATCGTTTAATCGTCTCTCAAGTAGTTCAAATACCCTTAGCTTGTCTGTTGTAATGAGATCAGGTGCTTGTCCTTGTTTGCTGAAGGGATGTTGTTGTGGACAACAATCACTGAACTCAAGCACTTGACTAGCAATGTACATCACAACCTGCAAACGACTTGCCCCACAGCAAAGACTGGTCTCTTTGGGGGCGGCGCCTTCTTGGCTCTAGATGCTTCCCTCTTCTGGTTGATATGCCTGACGCTAGCTGACAATGCGAGAGACGACTACTTTGACGAAGAAGAGAACAATAGAGGTGAATACGGTCAGGTTCTCACCACAGATTATGCTGCAAGGGGACAAGGCAATGTTGCTTGACAATGTTTCCAGGGATAAACACACACAAGTGAACGATTTTCATAGACTGGTTTGTATCGTATTTATATGTATGTAGTTTTAGACAATCAAGATGCTTGAAACATGGTGGATGAATCTCTGTACAGAGAGAACTCTGCAGGAGTGACTATGATCTCTCCATTGCTTCTCCTGTCATCTCAGTTTGCTTATTTAAGTAACAAAAAGGGATAGTAGCCAATCTCTGCTGTGTTTGTCCCTTCGGTCTGTGACTGTGGTTGTGCCAAAGATTGTAAAATGTTTATGCTCACCAAAATGGGCAACAGAATTCGGTATGAATATTTCTTGAACCTAGTCCTTGAGATTGATTATTACTTTCGACAATCCCGCAACTGCGCAAGCATACCATTCATTTTCTATCAATCCTTGTACAGCGATACTTCACATCCCATGATTACATCACTCAAAAAAATTGCTTTCGCTTACTATCTTTGTCATTTTGTTCCAAAATTTTCAGAGATATCCATACCCTAGGAGCTCATGGATAGGCACAGTGATCTGATCTGATGGTGTCTGTTTGCCTCCTTTAGAGCCGTAATTAGTAATTAAAAGTGCATATATAAACACAATTGTGAAGGTTCTGAAATGCATATTCGAGCTCCAAAGAGAAGAATTGTGTTAAACCCTCAGACTGCTGGAACAGCAAAGGAAGTAGAATTGCGCAACAGCAGAAGAACATAGCGTGACATTGAAAGCTTACGACCAAGTTTATCTACTATGGCAGCTGAGTAATAGGAGCCCAGGAAACTCTTGAAGCAAATCAAATCAAAGTTTAAACGTTACAAGCAGCTTTCTAGGAGTGACAAGATAAAATTTCAATTAGTATAGAAAAGATTTAATGAAAAATTTAAAAAAAACAAACCTGCAAAATGGTGATGAAAACATCTTGTAGTCAATATCCCGGGTTTTCAGATTGCCGTTTATCTGCACACTATTGTGTCCATTGTTCAACTCAGTGGTCAGCAATACAAGCCCATAATATGAAAATGCATTGCCAAAGAATACTACCATAAGAGCAAGGTGATCTGATTAATTTTGGCGAAAGAAGCACTAACAGTGCAGAGATGCCACCAAGTTAGACTCGTACACTCAGGAGTTGCATGTTCATTTTCTGTTTCCTTAGCCTTAGGAGTTGAATCTTCCTCTTCTTCCATTCCTCAGCAGTTGTATTGCCTTCATCAAGACTTGTTATGACGAACACCTAGTCTCTAGCTCACGTTCCCGATCGGAAACAAGATCACCAGAAGGAAGTGGTGTGCCATTAATTTTTGCTATTTTCTCCAAAATAAGACGAGCTTCAGCTGTTCTACCTTCAAGCATAAATACCTCGGTGATTCAGGAGTCATCCTGTAGAACAAAAGGAGAAGCAGAGAAGGGAGAGAGGAAAGCGCAAGTAGCCACCTCCAACCCCGTCTTGGCATAACAAGCGCAAGCAGACATCATAAGGATGAGCGTTTCCTCCAAATAATCTTTTTTATAATGAATTAGCATACTAAACTAGGACAAATATCATGTCATTTGAAATTCTCTTTTTTTTTTTCTCTTGGCAAGTAAATGCAATAGCACTGTCTTTTCTACTTTAGGGTGCAGTAGCCAAGTACCAAACACAATGAAGCCACGGTGGATGGCAAGATTGGACAAATATAGGATGACCACATATTAGTAACTGTCAAACACAGTGCTAACTACAACATGTTTTAAAATCATATCCGCTGATAGACCTCCCATTAAAAATGTATAACGATACAAAGGGCATAAGGGACATTTGGGGCAGTACAACGTTGGGGTGTGAGGTGCATGTATGTGTGAGAGTGGTTATTACTGGTCACATTTGTTGGGGAATCAAGTTGTTTAGTGGAGAGAATATCTTTAAGGGAGTATATAAAGTGAGGTAGTTTAGAGAAGGTCAGGATTTTCTATAGGGTCATTAAGGGAGGCTCCCAGCTCATCAAACTGCTGGGAACTATCAGTTTGGAGCTTATACTGTGTAGCTATTTTCTCAATTTCATTCTATAAAAATACAGTCTCGTTTATCTATTGATTTGGTGAAACTCTCTTCTCTGCTATTTTGGTTTTCCTTTTCTGTGTCGCTGCTGTGTTTATCTCCGACATTGTGAAGCTCCATGGTTTTCCAAAGTCGATTGTCTCAGATAGAGATAGGGTCTTTGTCAACCACTTTTGGCAGGAACTTTTCAAGGCAGCTGGCGCCTCTTTGAAGTTCAGTTCGGCATACCACCTCAAAATAATGGCTAGACGGAGGAGGTCAACCGATGTTGGAAGCTTACTTACGGTGTTCCTGTGACTCGTAGCCCAAACAGTGGCCTCGATGGCTGTCCTGGGCAAAATATTGGTACAATGTACCACCTCACAGCTCTACCAAAATGACCCCTTCAAGGATCTATACGGCAGGGACCACCCACTCTACTTTGGTTTACAGATTAACCTTATTGGTGGGGAAGAAGTAACCAGCAAATGGTTGAGCGAAATTCCATCTTGGATGAGCTAAAGCATAAACTTGTCTGTGGGCAAATGAAGGAAAAAGTGACCTATGCCGTCGGGATGTCAGTTTTCAACCTGGGAACCAAGTGTATTTGAAGCTCCAAACATATCGTTTGAAGTCATTGGCCAAAAAGCTAAATGAAAAGCTGAGTCCTCGATTTTATGGCCCTTTTCCATACTGGAGAAGATAGGCAGGTTGCTTACAGGCTGAAAGCTGCCCTTTACGGCTAAAATTTCATAGTCTTTCAGTCTCTCAGCTCAAACGCAGCCTACACACCTCTGTCCCCATCCAGCCACTTGCACCCTTCCTCATCAAGGACATGAAACTTCTGATCACACCGAAATCTGTGTGGCAGTCGCACCTTATTGGATGGCTCTTAGGAAGTTCTTATAAAATGGAAGGACTGGCTTCATTTGAGGTCTTGGGAGGCTTACGATGTCATCAAGCTACAGTTTCCTCATTTCCACCTTAAGGGACAATGTAGCTCTTCATTGGGGGGGGGGGGGGGGTATTGATAGACGTCCATTAAAAATGTCAATCGATACAAAGGGCATAAGGGGCAGTAGGACGTTGGGGAGTGTGAGGTGCATGTATGTTGTGAGAGGTTGGTATTACTGTTCACGTGTTTGTGGGAAAGCAAGTGTTTAGTGGAGGGAATATCTTAGGTAAGGAAGTAGTATATAAAGTGAGGTCAATTTTAGGGAAGGTCGGGATATTTCTATGGGATCATTCAGGGAGGCCCCAGCTCCTCGAAATACTGGGAACTATTTGTTTGAGCTATACTGTGTAGCTACTTTTCTCAATTTCATTCTATAAAAAAAACAATCTCGTTTATTCATTGATTGGTGAAACTCTCTTCTCTGCTATTTTGGGTTGTCTATACTGTTTTGTGGCGATTGTTGCAGGGTGTCTCATCCCACAAACGAGGAAATGATATTGTACAGGGCATAAGTCTCACTACACGCCCCAGTTGCAGAACTTAGAGACAGTTATAAAATAAAATGACCAAAGCAAAGGTAGAGATGGAAAAATAAAATTAAAACGACAAAGGAATCAATGAATTGCCACCAAAAAAAAAAAAAAAAATGAAAGATGTAGGAAATCACAGGCATACCCACGCAAGTGCCGCCTCCAAGACTGTCCCAACACTCCGAAAGCTGAAAAAATAACATCCAAACGCTCTGTGTTGGAGCGAGGAATAAAACTCTAGAAACCAAGAGGAGCACAGGACCGCCTCCCAAACCAAGACCAACCAAACAACGAAAGATGATCAAGAAATAATAATTTGGGGCAAAAGCACTCAGAAAACCAGCTACAAAGTTAAACTACTGCTCTACGAGGAATCCTTTCCTGAAGAAATAGAAATAAGGAAAAAAAGAAGAAGAAGAAAGAAGCAGAGTGATCAGATTCAAATAAGGTACATATAGAACCGCACTATAGATAATGCGTGCAAGAATAAGCCATATCAAATTTAAAATCACATAAAAAAGTAGTAAAACGATCCAAGTTACTAGAGTAAGGTGACATGATGTCCATTCTTTTCAATACTAAAACTTCCAATTCAACTATGTATTAGAAAAAGGTGAAACTTGAAAGAAGTTCAAAGGACCTTATTTTAATATATTAGCATTGGCAGAAAACTTTTCACCAAGGGATGTTGCCTCAATCCACATCTGCAAGATCTACATTACAAAACTAATTCATTGAGCGAAACAGTAAGAGCAGGGATTAGTCCCATCTAAGGAACTCCTTAATTCTATTTCAATAAACATTGTGTTGACTATTCCTAAAGGTGTAACTTTAAAGTCTATTTTGTTTCTCACTTTCCCTGTGGTAGGTTTTACATCTCAAAGGTCGTATTTTCCAGGCCAAGAAGGTAAGAAGCAGAAAACCATTTCTTATTCAGGAGCAAAAAGGAAAGATGAAATAAACTAGTCATTATATACCCCTATAGATCATCTTCACGCATGGTAAAACAAAGCAGCTTGTCATAGTTTTCACCTAGACAAATAAATATGTATTCCCTGAAATGAGAGTGACAGAGAATCAATATTGAAAAATCCACAAAACACTGAGGGCGGATTTAGAAAAGCAGACACAAATGATGATTCAAAAAAGCAAAGACTGCAAACAATTAATGAGAGAAAATGATGAAGGGCACACCTTCTTCCATAATTGTCTGACATAATGCCCATGAGTAGGTCCCAACTAGCATTCCACAAAAACAGCAGTGTTATGAGACTCTCTTGCTTTGGGGAAAGACCCCATAAAGATGAACTGTGGTCCTACAAAAGATAGGGCATCATTTCCATCGCTTCCGAAATCCATCCCATGCCAGCATAAGCAAGCACACAAGCTTGAAATTTCCCAATCCCATTTTCACAAGAGCCTCATCCACAGTATATGTGGAGTTTTCTTCTTGATTTTCAATTCCAATCTAAAAGTCAAAGAGACAGAATAAATAATTTTATAAATCCATATTGCTTTTAACAAATTGTTTGAAGTATTGCAGTAACATTGTGGATATTTTGGAGAGTTTCTACATGATTTCCCGAAGAACTCTGATTAATATCACCCACATATATCAGTTGTTTTCATCTGCATTTACAATGAAGATACAAGACACCGGTCTAAGACTTGAGTCCCGATACATAGTTCAAACAATCTAAACTTCATTAAGCTAGAGTTGGCAATAACCTATCCTAAGATTTGATAAATCTCTTTTGAGCCTCAAAGAACTTTAGGGCTGAACAAAATGTTACTTTCA